ACAGGGCCCTAAAGGCCAGAACCACGTGGTGCAGCGTTGACTTTGACAGGCTGCCTACAGTGGAGCTAGGCGTTTTCATCTGTCCCTGCTGGGTGCGCTGCAGCTAGACAGGCCTTAGGCAAGCCCATACATGATTCTTTTTTTTACTGTTCAAACAGTTGGGTTGAATGACATTTCTGCTGAGTCATTGTATTCTGATAGCAGGGAGGAGACTTCCCATACTGTCAGAAAACACCGATCAGCACTGCCAGCTGTAGCCAGTGGCACTGATCGATCAGGAAAAACCCAACAGGGTGGGTTGTACAGAAGCTGATCGATAGGTCATCTTCTGTACAACCAACCTGCCCACACATGGGTTGAAATTTGTCCGGTCCCTGTTAAACCAGCTGAATTTTGATCCATGTATGGCTGGCTTTAAAAATGGCTGTGGTGACAGTAGCTGTAATAAATGTTTCACTGAAACATGGCTGAGAGGCCTAACTAGATAATTTTAAAGTGTTTTTTTTTTTATTTCTAAATAAAAAAAAAAAAACCCTTGAAGAAATCACTTGAATTCATAATATATGCAACACAAGTTAAAAACCATCCTCACCGTAGTCCTCAAACCACACAATCTGATAATTAAGAATTTGGAGTGCTGCCCATAGCAATCAGATGAAAGAAAAGATATTTTCTAATATTCTCTGCATTCAGAAGTGCGTGCAGAAAGATTTGAAAGTTTCCAAGCTGCCTTTTTTGTGAGTTTCGGCTCCCTATAAAACATTTTCCCATAAACAGATCAGACGTGTGTTTTTATCCAAGTTACGAGCTTGGCAATAATAAAAGGCTGTGCTGATGGTAATAATACAGCTGCTGTTGTATACGCTAATGGGCCTTACGTAAACCGTGGCAGAATGTTCAAGGCTTGTTCAGGCTAGATGACGGTGATTAAACAAAAAAAAAAAGATGCTGTTTTCATCAACTTTTCCCTCCACGTTTCCTAACTCTAGTATGGGGCATATCTATTGTAGTGTCTGAAGTGTTACTTTGTTTAAAAAAAAAAACAAAAAACTACAGATAGCAGTGACATTTCACTTTGGTGTATGGCCTGTTGTGTGTTGGCTACCAGTTTAAGAACTGGAGCAGGCACAATCTGAAGCAGCTGTGCATGGTAACCAATCAGCTTTTAGCTTCTACTTGTTCAGTCAAACTTTAAAATTGAAATATCAAAGCTGATTGGTGGCTGTGCACAGCTGCACCAGATTCTGGCTGTACAGTCTGACCCCCGGTTCACATCTATGCAACCGTGTGGGATGCATTTTGCGCGGACACGAGAGCCCATTCATTTGAATGGACTCCTGCGCCCTGTGACATGCAGGGAAGAAGTCTCTGCGCTTCTTTGGAAAACACAGCCCGCACAGGAACCTCGGTTCCCAGTATGGTTGTGTTTTGCAGTGCGGGTGGCGTGCCATTCGAATTAATGGCACCCGCCTGCGGGTCCACATGTCTCTGTGCCGGTGGTGCGGCTGCACGTATTTTCATGCGGATCCACAGCGGCGTCACCCATATGTGAACCTAGGGTTTGTGTGTGTGTGTGTGTGTGTGTGTGTGTGTGTGTGTGTGTGTGTGTGTGATCTCACAATGAACTTCTTCCTTTTTATTGATCTGTTAAATATACCATTGAAACCATTGTATCTGTTAAATTCAAAACATACCGTACTTGGTTTTAAATTCTATATAATATCCCCATGCTATGTTAAATATCAATATCCATCCAAGTGAAATGTGAGAATTTACTAATCTACCCAACTACTCACACCAGTAATACAATATCAATAGATTGCTATGTGAATGGCCAGAAATACTGGAGCTGCTGTCTGAAAAGGACAAAACCTTCAAATACCAGGATATTTATAACTTAACAGTGCTGCTTTTTAACATTTCTTATCAAATAACACATTAATTGTAAAAGAGAAATATGTTCAAGAGCACAGCCGTCAAGTTATAAATATGGTTTTTAATCCAGCTAAATATCCAATGAGCTGATATGTTCATTACAGGAAGTCATTATCCCTGTCCAGTTAACCCAGTTCACTTCTGTATCATTTAGAACACCTCCCCCTATGTTATATACAGGGACGGACTGACCATTTGGAAACTCGGGCACTGCCTGAGGGCCCGGGGTCAGTAGGGGGCCCCATGAGATGCCCCTGGTTCCTTTTTTCATAGGCTTTTTTGAGTTTGGACAAGGACACAGGGGCCCCATGATCCCCTATTTCCCGGGGGGCCCCACGAGTTGTCAGTCCGCCCCTGGTTATATAGATGAGGAGAGGAAGGTGTTCTGTAGTCCGAACACACTTCCTGTCCTAGGGTGACATTACTGCACCACCATCCATAGGCCTTAACTCGCTGTGTGTATCAGTCTGTAGGGAGAACAAAGAACTTTCTTGCTGCGTGGCTTCTCCTGCACTGCAAGGATTAAATGCTCATTTACACCTAGGGCAGGGGTGTCCAAACTATGGCCCTCCAGGTGCAGAGAATGTCCGTGGATTAAAGTGATTCTAAAGATTCATTTATGTTTATTATTGCTTTTTAAATAAAACTTCTCTTCTGGGATCCCCCACAAGCTCTCCTAGCCCCTCCTTCCTGGCGGGTGCCCCCACAGCGAGCAGCTTGCTATGGGGGCACTGGCTGCTCCATGTGTCCATTCACACATGGAGCCGCGGCTTGGCCTCACCCCCTCTCTCTCCTCATTGGCTGACTGGCTGTGATTGATTGTCTCAGCCAATGAGTAGGCAGAGACCCTGGACAGCCGAGGCAGCCGTTCACATTGCTGGATCGCGATGAGACTTGGGTAAGTATTGAGGGGCCTGGGGTTACTGATGCACACAGGTTTTTTACTTTCATGCATAGAATGTATGATGGTAAAAAAAAACCTTCAGCCTTTACAACCGCTTTAATCCTCTGTACAGCACTGTGGAATATCAGAGTTGTGTAATTGAAAAGCTGATATATGGATTTGAATTTAGTGGCTTTGTGAGAGGTACCCTTTAAGGAAACATGCGCTGGTGGAGACACATGGTCTGCCATATGAAGCCATTGGATTAGCATGACATTCAGGCAATCAGAACTTTCAGAATTGGAGGTCAGCAGAGGCAGCGTACTACTTTCCTCCATACAGGTCGCCTTTAAGACCACACGGTGTATTGGAAGTTGTTAGGCAATGATGGTATGTTTAGTAACAATGGGAAAGGAGATCCTTTCCCACAGGCCCAGCATGAACCTGTTGAATGAAAGTGAGTAAAACCAGTTTGTACAGTAATCTGTCCTTCCTTGTAAGAGGAATATGAGGCAGACACGGCGTCCTTTGTTAAATTGGAGAGTGATGAATCATCTGGATGGAAAATCTGGGTGGAGAATAGTGATTTGACTCATTAGAGGCTCTCAAGCTGGCTGTGGTGTCCTCTGATCCAGCAATCAGAACAATTTCAGTTCACTAGTTAGGTGAACGCAGTACATTTCTTCCAGAGCCCCATTCAACTTAAAAGCATTCTAAAAGTCAATAGAATAGTTGGACAGCATATGGTCATTAACTGTAATCGCATATACTTTTGCCCAAAAAAATTATTTAGCCTCCTCCCTAGCCCCCCTTATCCATATAGTTGGGGGGGGGGGGGTGTATCTGTATAGTGGGCAGGAGGAGTGTAACGTCACAAGTTGGGGAAAGTACATTCCCGGTCTGTGTACTCTGCTGTGAGCTGCAGCCAATCCACACAGAAGGGTTGGGCAGACTGTGTGGCCGCAAAGCCGACTATGGGAGGTACAGGTACACTGTGCTTCAACATTTGGTCCTGTCATTTCTGTTAGAGAATTCAGGCATTAAGACTGACCATGCCAGCACAGTGCTTGGCGTGGTCAGTTTGAAACCATAACTAAGAGCAACTGGTGGGATCATTTGGTATTTAAAGGATAGGTTCACCTTTAGTAACATGTTACACCTGTATTGGTTGTAACATGCTACTATGCAGCAGCCTCTCCTCACCCCTTGAGCCACCCCTATGACAAGAGCTGGGGGTTCCTCTCCCCCACAGTCGCTGCATTTTAAAAATGCACGGCTTTGCAGGGCTCTGCCCACACAGCCGCATCATTCAGAGAACTGTGAATGAAGAAAGTACCTGTCTGCCAGCAGATGGCAGCTGGTATTTTTCAGTGGACTGCGATGGAGCTGATGAGCTGTGTATTTTGTTTAAATACAATTTTATTCTCTAGTATTTACTTGGAATCATTAGCATTGACTTAGGCTCTGTTCACACCAATGCGTTTTTTTTTGTGCTTTTTGCTGAAATACACTACAGTCCATATAACATGGTTTTCTATGGAACATGTTCACATCTATGCTGTTTTGAGCTGCTGTGTTTTTTTTAGAAAGGGTCAGGGACTTTTTTTTTTTTTTTTTTTTTTTTTTTTTTAGCAACAAGCAGCTTTTTTGCTATAACAGAGTTCAATGGATAATCTGCTGAATTGCACGGTAGTGCATTTTTGCTGCGTTTTTGCATTTTTATTCTGCCCAGCAAAAAAAAAAACCCACTTATACAAAAAGTTGGAACAAAATGCGTGTAGAAAAATGCAAAAGGAAGTGCGAAAAGCACTGCAAAATGGAAAAAAGCATACTGCATAGGTGTGAACAGAGCCTTGGTATACATGTTCTTGCATTATCTATGTGACTAATACGCCCTTTTTTAGATTTTACGGTTGCTGTACAGATTTCTATATTTATTCTTAGCAGTGGGTTTTTTTTTTTGTTGTTTTTTTTTTCCATGAACGAGCTGTCGGTGGCATTTAGAAATTTTACACAGGGATCTTTTTTCGTGTTTGTTTTGTTTTTTTGTTTTGATTGTTTTGGTTTTACATTCTATATAATAATACTATATGCATTAGGCTTCCATGTATCCTTGAAAACTCAATAAAAAATATTGTACAATGAAGTATCAAATTTGACCAATTTATATCTCCTTTCCACAGCTGGCAGGCACAGCAGTCCTGGCAATAGGACTATGGCTCCGATTCGATGGCCAGACCAAGCCCATGTTTGAGTCCGATTCCAGCGCTAATTCATTCTATACTGGTAAGATTGAATCCAGGAATCCTAGCACACGCTGCTTGGCTCACACACTTTCCAGTTATCATCTAAAGAAGCATATTCCCTCTGAAGCTTTAGTCAATATCTAACTCCTAATGGGGATAGCTGTGTAGTTTGTACTTCCCATTCTTCTTTGAGATTTAAGCTTTTCTGATAATTGGACTGCTAACTAAAAGATTCTGAGTATTGAACACATGCTGGTTTTCTGGTTGCGCAGTCTCCTTTTTGATCTACCAACAACCATGTAGTAAAGGGCCTGTGTAAATGATCCTTTCAGTTTACAGCAGGCCCTCCACTACATAATTGTTGGTGGATTTTAAGGAGATTATACAGTCCAATTTAATATGTGCATTGCCAGTTCTAGGGTGCCTATAAATAGGTAGGCAGATGGGTGGAGATAGACCCACTGTATTGTATCTAGCAGCTGGGCCTACATTGTTTCAGTGCACTAGGTAAGGAGGAGGAAAGGGTGACGCAGCTTGAAGTTGTACAACAATTTGAAAAATCTGTGTCAAGGTTAGGAATGTTGGTCATTGATTAAGGGTGCCCTATATAGTCTAGTTCTCTCAGGAGTTTCTTGACTCCTCATATCTAAAGGGAAGGGAATCAGACCATGGATGAGACTGCTGAACAAACCAGGGGACATATTAGGTCTCTTTTTGTAGTGGGCTCGCTGTAAAAACTCTGAATACACTTGGCATTCTCTGTTGCTACAGTCCGCCCTAATATTTTGACAGTAAGTGGGGCTGTTATCGCTAGTAGGGCTCAATCCATTGTTGCATGCTGATCTGGTAACTTTTTTTTTTTTTTTATTCTTGCAGGGGTCTACATCCTAATTGGTGCAGGAGCTCTCATGATGTTGGTTGGTTTCCTTGGTTGCTGTGGTGCAATTCAGGAGTCTGAGTGCATGCTAGGATTGGTAATATTTTTTGTTATATGTACATAAAGCGCTTAAATAACAACATGGCAGAAATTAAGATTGTTACCAGCAAATGTTAGTGTAATTCTTACCAAAAGGGTTGTGTGTATGTGGGTGTTTTTTTTTTTTTTTGTTTTTTTTTTGTTTTTTTTTACTTTTTATGTAACGGAGGAAGGAAATTGGGGACAATTCCTCAATGCAACAATGCAAAAAATGTTGTGACACTCTACCTCTTCCCACACCATCCAAAATTTAAAAAAAGAAATTGAATAGAGTTCCACTTTTAATGTATCGTGAAAAAAGAGGGGCTCCCACAGAATCTGCTGAAATACTACCCCTCCCTTCCCCCTTCCCCACTCCTCCCCAGCAGAGCAGGCCTTAAGGTGGGTGTACACTAGTCGAATTTCAAACAAAGTGCTCAGTACTTTTGCATGTTGTACAAAAGTAGTTTGAGTTTGTGTTTTGCTTTTACATTCTATTTTGGAATGAATGGACTTTACTGAACAAGTCATCCAGTGCTTGCATGAGGCAGCCACTTGAACTGCTAACCGGCATGTACAGTACGTCTTTCACTTTCGCAGGATCCACTGATGCCAGGTGAGAAGACACCGTGTGTCAGTGCTGATCATTAGGCAGAGTTACTTGCCCAATACGGTCTCTTTAAAAGGACTTTAGGTTACCATTAACAAAAAAAAAAGTTTTGTTATAAAAATGCACTTTGTGAATGAAAGAGATACTGTGTGTGTAATATAATTTTTTTTTTTTTCCCCCAGTTCTTTGCTTTCCTCTTGGTTATTTTTGCCATCGAGATTGCTGCTGGAATTTGGGGTTTTGCCAATAAGGACAAGGTATGTGCATGCAATTTTATTTAAAGTGGTTATAAAGCCTAAAGTTAGGCAAAGATCACACTGTTTTTTTGCATCCAGGAGCAATGTGGTCATTTCAGATGATAAAAGAAAATGGAGACTTTCATCTTCAATCAGACCCGTTCTGCTGAGATAAAAGGAATAGGCCACAATATGGAAGCATTCTCTATGTATATAACAAGCAGCTATTGTAACAAACCTGTATCCCTGTATTCCTTTTTTGAAAATATCTATTTTGGGTGGAATTGCACTTCACAACTTGCACAATTTACCATCCCAACCTATAGCTACACTTGCCACCTGACCTTCTGACAGATTCCATAACTGTTCCTATACAATCATAAGCAGTTTTGGGTATGAAGGACTTTTAAAGGCATGAATATTCACAAGAAAGTATTTGCATGCAATAACAAACCTGTATTCTTACACAGATTAAATGCTATAAAATAAATAGCTGATCTCACTGTAGCAAATGTAAGCTCTCTTCAACATTCACAACATAATGTAATAGAGCACAGCTACTTGAATGTCCACATGGTGACAAAAGAAGATACCATTTGCCCATAATATTGCATTGTTGGTCCGATGGCCAGAGAAGATGTGTTTTTTTTTTTTTTTTTTTTTTTTTTTTTTTTCTGACGTATATTTCTCAGGGGAAAGGATGGAACTTTCCAATCTATGCGACAATATACAATAAAGTCATCTCTATACGACAATATACAATAAAGTGATGAGTAGAATAGCAAATTCATCCATTTGTATAAAAAAAGTGGTGGCCAGAAGTCCTAAGACTTGTATAATCCATAAGAGATCTATATTAACAGTCATAAATGGATAAAACAATCCAGTCTGTGGACCTGGTAGATGTTTTGGGGGGGGGGGGGGGGGAGATTTATCTATCTATCTAGAGCATGGTATATAGCAAAAAATCTCTACTTGTGTGATTCCCAGTCAATGTTCATGGGTCTCCCTATATCTCAAGACATACCTTTTTAGCTATAGTGGCCAATAGCACACCATATGTTTAAAAACGGATGCAAAGACCATTGCGTCTTGCATAAAGAACCCCTGTGCTCTGGAAACAATTCCTGTATAAACTAAAGTTGGTGGTGTGGGTGTGGTTTTTTTTTTTTTTTTTTTTTTTTTTTTTTTTTTTTTGGAGCGTTTGTTTTTTATTGTGTTTTTTTTTTTTTGTTTTTTCAGAACATGCTTGTTTTCATGTTTTTCACTTCTGTTTTTATTTGTTGTGTTTTAATTTTTAATCTCCAGATTGTAGAAGAACTGCAGAATTTCTATAAGGAAACGTACGCCAAGTATGCTTTAAAGCAGGAGCCAGCTGTGAAGGAGACCTTTGAGGACCATCCAATTTGCTGTATGAATTTTTTTTGATTTGCCACTGATCAACACAAATGATAAAACACACGTGTGTGTGTGTGTGTGTGTGCGTGTGTGAGACGTTTGGGGCATAGTACATAAGTAAATAGAGGATTACTCCATCCAAGATTTGCGTGTATGTATTGTTTTTTTTTTTTTTTTTTTTTTTTTATTGCATTGACTGGAGAGAACTTTTAATGTCACATTTTTTATTACTGTCTGTGACCTCCTCGTGGGGAGAAGTTTCCTTACTCCTCGTGATTTCAGGACCACCAAGCAATGGAGAGCAGGGCAGTTGGGAGAATATTGCTACCTGCACCGTACTGTTCCAGTGACAGACATTGTTTTTAATCCCTTCTTTTACTTTTTTTTGTGTTTAGCTTTACATAAGATGGTGCATGTGTCTGGTTTGTGGAGAAAGGAAGTGGCCCTAGGACAGGGGTCAGCAGACTGTCGACCGTGGACAGCCGATGGGTTGATTGGGAACACATCCCTTTTACACAGTCCTTCCCCCGGCCTCCGCTGCCATCCTCTTCACTGCATAGCAGAGTGGGAAGAGTCACAGTACTGGATAGAGGGTCAACGGGTGGGAGCTGCTGGAGTTACCTTTTCGCATTAACCAGCAGGTGATTGGTTGCCAAGTGGTCCTAGCAACCAATCACAGGCTTGTTAATGTAAAAGGTTAACTCCGGCAGCTCCTGCACCTGCCCTCTATCCAGTACGGTCCTACTTCTTGCTTTCCTCTCTGCTATACTCCAGTGTAAGGTAGGGGAGTGCTACCTAGACACAGATTTGGATCGAACACACGTGTGTGTGTGTGTGTGTGTGTGTGTGTGTGTGTGTGTTGTGTGTGTGTCAGAGGACACTACAACGCATTGGGGGTGGGGGCAGAGGACACTACAACGCATTGGGGGTGGGGGCAGAGGACACTACAACGCATTGGGGGTGGGGGCAGAGGACACTACGACGCATTGGGGGTGGGGGCAGAGGACACTACGACGCATTGGGGGTGGGGGCAGAGGACACTACGACGCATTGGGGGTGGGGGCAGAGGACACTACGACGCATTGGGGGTGGGGGGCAGAGGACACTACGACGCATTGGGGGTGGGGGCAGAGGACACTACGACGCATTGGGGGTGGGGGCAGAGGACACTACGACGCATTGGGGGTGGGGGCAGAGGACACTACAGTGGGGGGGGGGGGTTGTGGGGAGGGTTCTGTAAAGGGAATAGAGGACATTGCATTGGGGTGGGGGGGGTGTTTTGTGTAGGGAATGAGATTGCATTGGGAAGGGGGGGGGGGGGGGCTGCAGTGGCTGGAGTGTAAGAAGGGCACAGAGGACACTCCTCTGAGGGAGGGGTAGAAAACACTACAGTGGGGGGGGGGTTGAAAATGGGACAGAGGGAAACTGCAATGGGAGGGCAGAGGACACTACAGTGGGGATTGGGGAGGTGAAGGGGACAGGACACTGTAGGTTTGTGATGTGAAGGGAACAGAGGACATTGCTATGGGGGGGGGGGGGCTGCAGAGGACACTAACTGTGTGGGTAGAGGGGACAGACAGACACTGCTATAAAGGGAGGGGCTTGATGGGGTATTTTTTTTATTTATTTTTTTTGTTCTTTGTTTTTTACGGATGACCCTCATAGTTTTATTTCCTCCGCGTGTTGTCCAGGTAGATCTCAATCTCTGAAAGGTTGCCAACCCATGCCCTAGACAGGGGTCTGCAACCTTTAAGACATAAAGAGCCACTTGGACCCATTTCCGAGAGGGAAAAAAAGACTGGGAGCCGCAAAACCATTGCAACATTTAGAAAAACAAATCGACACTGCCATATATTGCAAAAAACGCTCTGGTCATGAAGGGGGTTTAAAACATGTAAGCAAAGGTTTAATCAGGGCCACAGTGTATAGTCATAATCACAATCATAGCCTTAGGTCAGTGGTGGGCAACCTTTTTTTTTCGACTGAGCCAAATCTCGCCAAAACCACGATTGAAATTTTATTTTGAGAGAAACATTTTTAAAAGAAAATACATCCCCCATATAGTAATTCCATCCCCCATTTAGTAGAAATTGATGGGTATAGTATTCAATCCCCCCTATAGTAATTCATCCCCCCTATAGTAATTCATTTATAGTAATTTGTTCCCCCCTATAGTAATTACGGATAATTCATCCCTCACCTGTAGTAATTCATCCCCCATAGTTTATATCATTCCCCTACCTTTGCTCCGCGCGTTCCTCCTGGGGTTCCCGCGCCCGTTCTGGTCTTCAGGGCGGATGTGAGAGGAGAGGAGTTCGTCACGACCTGCCCCGCCTACATCCGGGGCTGCCCCGCCTACATCCTGACAGCCAATGTTTGCCAGCGGGCGCCCGGCACACAGAAGATCTACATTAAAAGAGCCCGCGGCTTGCCGACCCAGATGTCTTGCTGGCCGCAGGGAAAGGTGAAAAAGAGCAGGCTCCTTGGTTGGAGACACCCGCCCTAGGAGATGTCTTGTGGGAAAACTGAGCAGGCCTTGGTGGAGATAGGTTGTGGAGGAAGGAGGTACCCTTAAAAGGAGATGTTATGAAGAAAGAACAAGCTGGATTTCAATCCATGTGTACCCATTCCTGTTCGTCGGAAGGGGATCTAACTATCTACTTCTGTCAAACAGGAATGTTGTAAAACATTTCAGGAACAGTAGCTACAGTCACTGATCGGTGTATTCTGACAATGGATTCTCCCCACTGGGATATTGTGTTCTACCAGTGAGACTCTCCATTCTCACTTGTGGGTAGAGGAATCTTTTTTTTGTTTGGTGTGGTTTTTTTTGAGCTTGTTGCCTGCTTTGGCCAGCTTTAAAAATTACAAAGCATCCTAAAATCTCTACATGCTAATATTACTTCTTAATATATAGTAGGTAAATGTATTCACTCATATTGTGTGTGTTTGTGGTCTATAAAAATCAATTACTTTTCCTATTTTGTTTTACAGTTGAACTGTTGTGGACTCACTGGGGTTTTTGAAGCTCTTCTTTCAGAGACTTGCCCTTCTGCCAGCTTGAGTATGCAGGTAATGTACTCTTGTTTTCATTATCTTGCCAGAAAGCTGTAACTGGTATCTGGATGCCAGTACCAGTAACTGTACACTTTTTATAACATTAACTCCAGGGAAGAGTTAAACTTATTTCATGTAAAATACGCCTGTCCCAAACCTAACTAGTTTAAACCGAGTATAAAGCAAATAATACAGTGGTTTCCTTCAGTTATTCAAGCATTTTTATTAGACACTGGCCAGAAAAAACAGGAAACCCCACCCAGACATACCCCATCCTAGCTCAGGTAGGGTTCAGTTTTTGGCAAGTGTACTTAGGTGGTGGATGTGCCTACTACCGTCTCCCAGAAGATTTTCGGTTCAAGGGCTTGGTTCCCGATCTCCTGGCCTGTTCCTGACACTACTGCTTAGATAGAGGAGGGCCTCGTCCATATCCCTATTGCCTTGTCGACAAGAGGGGCTATACCCAAACTTGTCATATTGCCAGTTGGCGCTGTATCCTAGGTACAGTGCATCTGGTGACCATGCTAGCAGTGTGCTATACAGGTCCAGGGAAGTGATTCCCCTGGTCTCTGATTGGGTCTTCTGGCTGTTCAGCTATGGACTGGTGAGTGGCTGTGATATTGGTGGAGCATGTGGCAATCCTTTCTGGCAGTGTTCCCTATATGTTTGCACGGGGGGCACTTTGGGCAGTTTTTTAGTGCTTGTGACGTATGGCAGTTGCAGAGCTCAAAACGGACAGTCTGGTACAGCACACATATGCAATCATCTTATTACATACACCATTTTTACTGGTTCCATGCTCACAAATGGGTGCATTCAGAGCACCTGGTATTCCTGCCCTGCACAGCCGCAGCTACCTATATGTAGGCACTAAGCACAGCCAGCATTGTGGCACACAGGTGATCTGGCCTAAGTTGACATTCCTCTCACATGGGCGGCCACTCCCCTTTGGGATCTCAGGCCTATTAACCCTGAGAAGCATGACTTCCCACAGGAAGAGAGGTAGTGTAGGCTACCAAGTTCCTCAATCAGGTAACGAAGACCCCCTGTGCAGCTTACCCTTTGGTATTTCCATTGTTTCAGGGGCACAATCCTCTACTTCCTTTCTGTCAAGGGAAACATTTTCTGCAGTAATATCTGGATTGCATGATCAGCTCTCAGGGGTTCTTACTGTTTGGAACGCCTGGGATGTAAATGTAGGCACTCGCTTCCCCTCAAACCCATTTGTGGGAGGATAAGGCATCATAGGAGCAGGAATCTTCTATGGATCAGTCCCCCTAGGTGGAATCTCGAGGTCTGAGTTTTCAAATGTCGTAGTGGGCTTCCAAGTAAATGTGGTGTGGACTAGCCTGAAGTTACCTTTATTGGAATTCACTTCCCCTAAACCCATTGGTTTTTGGTCACAGCAGCCACCTAAAACTCGCCAATTCTTTTCAGTGCACCTTCTCACATTCAGGAGAGGTGATGTTTTTTCCACCAATGTGTTTCCCTTTACTGTACGCCATGGCAGAGGAAGTCTACAAGAAGTGGGGTGCTCTGGCTGTTGACCTGATCATTTCTAACCTAATAAGACTTTTGCAGTCCCAGTGGATAAAGTCCTGGTCTTTAAAGCAGTACTCCGGTCAAAACCTTTATTTCGCCATACAGCAGGGCTGTGCCCCCACTGCATGGATCAGCTACTCGTTTTTCTAGGGGTAAGCATAAAGTTCATACTCGCCTGACCTGCTGATCCTTTGGAAAACTGCACTTCACATGGTCCAGCAGTGGACGGTTCCTGTCTATGGAGCGTCCTGACATCAAGAACAGTCTATTTACAAGGCTGGTGGACCGTGGGGGGTCAGGAGCCGAAGGGACCAGTCTTGTGTGGGGAGGATCGGTGGGTCAGGTGAGTATATCCCTGTTGTTCTCTCTCCTAGAGCATAATAAGCCGTTTTAAAACATTTTTCCCAGAATTCTGCTTTAAGGATGCCACTGATAAGAGGTTAGGTGCTGTCTTTAAGGCATCCTTCTCTTTGGGAGGAGTGGCTCTGTAGCCTGTGGTTGGAGTTTGCCAAGCCCATTTAAATATTGGGCAAAAGTATTCTCTGCTTAGAGTCTGACCTGGGGGATCCTACCATCTGGAAGTTCCTGGATGATTTTCCAAGAGTCTTGGAACATTCCATTTGGCAGTTGGTTGTTGTGTTTTTTTTTTTTTGTTTGTTTTTTTTTTTTTTTTTGTTTTTTTTGAGGGTGGGTAACATGTCTGCCCACATGAGAAGGATCCTATGGCTCAAGTGTTGGTTGGCAAAAAACATTTCTGCAAGAAGCAAATTGAAAGGCTGCCCTTTTGAAGGCAGCACTTATTTGGACCATCCTGGGATGCCATCCTGGGGTGACTGTGGGTAACAGCACATGACGAAGGTGGCAAGTCAGAAACTAGTAACTCATTGGGAATCCAACAAAAGTTCTTTCATAAGCAGCATTCCTCAGGCTCTAAGCAAAAGCCTAAATTCCAGTCCATTGCCACCCCTCCAATCCTGCAGTTCTGGAGGCCCCTTTAACTCAGAAAAACAGACTGGGTCTGTCCAATGGCTATAAGCTGGAGTTTCACGGTTTCTTTCTCCATGCTTTATGTACTCAAGGGTGTTCTTGCATCAAAGCAAAAGAGTGGTTTTCTTTATGGCCCAATAGCTCATCGCATCTGTTCCAGAGGAGGAGAGGTCTCATGGCTTCTATTCCAACATGTTCAGTTCCAAAGCCAAACAGACGTTGAGCCTATTTGGACCTCTAGCGTGTCCACAGCTTCCTGAAAGTTAAGAATTTTCCAGTCTCACCAGTGGTTTATGATTTGCAGTGGAATATCCTCACGATCAGTTTGTGACATTGCCCTTTGACCTGTCCTAGGCCCCCAGGATGTTTACCAAGGTGTTGGCTCCTGTTCTGGGGCTGTTGAGGACCCAGGGTATCCCCTTTATTGGATACCTCTGTGGCTTGCCGTTCGGGGAGCAATTAACTCATTGATTGTCCAGATGATGGTACAGGTCCTAGAATGGTTTGGTTGAATGCTGAACCTCCAAAAGTCCCTCCTTGCTTCCATTTCAACGTCTGGAGTACTTGGGTTCTAGACACGACACAACAAGCAAAGGTACTGATCCTGCAGGAGAAATTTCTGTCTCTTCAATCCCAGGTGACGTCCTTGAGGTAGTTGTAAAATGCCTAGTTTCAGGCCTGCATGGAGATAATGGAAAGGATAATAGCTCCCTTTTGATCGAGTCTCCTAGGCCCAGTTTCACCCCAAAGCTCTTCAGCTCAATCCTGACTGTAATGACAAATGTTTGGAGTCCTTGGCTCTGACAATGCATCTGACTCCCACGACCTGGTCAGCTCTGGCATAGTGGATATCCACAAAGATGCTGGATACTGGGGAGTCTTTCCTTCTGATGAATAGGAAGGACTTGACAATGGATGACAGGCTGGGGAGGCGATCTGGAGAACATCTGTTCAGGGAATGTCAGAGGAGCCTAAGTTTCCCATCAACATACTTGAACTCTGGGTGATTTGGCTTGCTCTCATACGCTGTTTGTCTGCCTTCGGGTCCTACCTGTCAAGGTACAGTTGGACAATGCTACAGTTATGGCATTTGCCAAGCATCAAGGAGGATTAAGAAGTCTTGACACTCAGGAAGAAGTGGACCTGATCTTGGGTAAAAATGTCACATTCCGACCCCCTCTGCTATACACATTGTCAGTGTGGGGAAAACTGTCAGGTGGACTTTCTATGCCTTCAGCAGCTGAATTCAAGAGTATGGCCCTTCAACCAGAGGTGAACATAGAGATTTGACTGCGGAGGGGTGCACCAGATGTGGATCTCTAGGCATCCAGATTAAACAACAAACTGGACAGGTTTTAGTCCTGGACTAGGGATTCTCAGGCAGTAGATCCCCTGGTGATCCTTAGGATCAGTTTTCACCTGCCTTTCCTGCCCTGCAGCTTCTTCCTTGCCTATTGAGCAGGATGGGGGGGGGGGCGCTTTCTGGAAATTCTGATTACATCTGCTCGGCTAAGAAGAATGTGGTATGTGGACATTGTAAAGCTCATGGCAGATGAGTTGTGGGCTCTCCCAGATTGACCATATTTGCTGTTGCAGGGCCAACCGTTCCATCCTGATGTACGGTCATTGACTTTGACTGTTTGAAGCTCAAATCCTGAGGATAAAGGTGTTTGTATTCCTACCCTCCTAAAGGCAAGAGCCTATCACTAGGAAGGTTTACCAGGGGTCTGACATTGCACCCGAGATCCACTGTTTGCAGGTGCAATGCTCTTCAGGCTTCCAAGAAAAAATAAATGCCCTTTTTTTTTTTTTTTTTCCCTGCAAAACCTGTACATTTATTTATTTTTAAAGAAAACTTCTCCTTTTAACTGCTTAGGTCCTTCGAGATATTCCCATAGCAGGCACTGAGCAAGGATGCTAGCTATGGTAAGATGCAACGGGTATACCATCAAATAGTTGCTGACTAGAATGTGAAAACTGCGAAATTTGGCACACTGTTTTCATAAAGAAATGCTGTAAGCAGAAAAACATTTTTGATTCATTCTCTTTCTTCCAGGCCTGTCCAAAAGCTATCGAAACAGTCTTCAACACCAAATTTCACATCATTGGAGCTGTTGGAATTGGAATTGCTGCCATCATGGTAAGTATTAACCCTCCAGAGGATTTACCCCCTTTCCTGACTAGGCCATTTCTTGCGATACGGCACTTCGTTACTTTAACTGACAATTGCGCAGTCATGCAACACTGCACCCAAATGAAATTTACGTCCTGCGGCGGACATTCTGACACTGGGGGGGAACTTGGTGTCACTGACACACTAGTGACACTAATACAGTGATCAGTGCTAACAAAAAAAGCACTGACACTGTACTAATGGCACTGGGCAGGAAGTGGTTAACATGAGTGATCAAAGGGTTAATATGTAGGGAGTGTTGTACTAGGGGGGGCGGGGGTGTGCAAGTCACTGTAAGCACACTGATTGGGATGGCTGTGCTGTGCACAGCCATCCCGAGCAGTGTGCCCTCGCTGACAGGGAGGAAGCCTGTTTGTAAACAAACAGTCTTCCTCCCTGTCGGAGATGCTCGGTTAATCACCGGGGGGCGGCAGGGACCCGGTGATTGACAGCTATGGCGGTGCACGTAGGGCTCGCGCGTGCCCCCTACCTGGAAATGCAAAATTACATATATATGAAATTTTGCGCACCCCTGCTGCCCTGTTGCAGTACATCTGCCATGGGGCGGCGGTTAAAATATCATGTATCAAAATATATGGCACCCTGTATCTATCCCACATCCACTTCTCCGACCCTTCCTTTTTATACAAAAAAATCTCCACCTGAGAACCCCCTATATACCCACCCTTCCCCGACAGCCCCGTCCGTAGAGGTTGTCCTATTAGGACCTACATGTGCATCATACACCACTGATAAAACACTCACAAATAATATCATAAGCTGTAATAGGCACTGTATATATGCACATTAGGTCTAGGACCATGTACATGTGTGTATGCCGATTACTACACAGAGGGGAAAAAATGAAGACCGTTAAAACTAAAAATAAAGCACTTGTTCAGAAAATGCCAAAATGTGTATTATTCCTCTTTGACGTGAGTCCATGTAAATGGCCTGCGGTCCACTAATATATGATTAAAGGGGCTGATTCCACCATATCCGGCCAGTTCTTTTTAGAAATCTCGAATTTTAATTATGTGTAATGCAGGACTAGCAGTGGTGTTTACTAGTACCATAAGCCCAAAAAATGAGCATTTAACCATTGTAAAATAGATCAAAAACTAGTGCAGTGCTCCTATTAATAACCTAAGTGTGTGTGTGTATGTATATATATATATATACCACTTAATATTCCCGTATCGGAAATTCATGTCACGTGAACATAAAAATATGTGACCTTCCAATTTTACATATATAAAACATGCATGCATAATTAATCAACTGTTAATGATAAAATGAAACCTGAGTACCAGCAGAACTTTTTTAAAACTCCCACCGAAAAAATTTTAAAAATTTCAACATCGGGTGAAAGACTCACCCAGCAATAATTTATTTGCATTACCTCAGTGACAACTCATTGATAGGTGTTCAGTTCGTACTAATAGTGCACTTTGTGTATGAATAGATTCTTCCCTTTTTATGTGTCAAACATACTCTTCTTTGTGTATATAGCCTCCAACAGCATGTGCCTTAAAGTGCTACTAAACAAAGGACCCTGCATTCACTAAATCTGGTCTCCCACAGTACACACAACATGGAAATGCAATCATATTAGTAAATATAAACGTATAAATGCCTTTTCTTAGCAGTTAGAGCAGTCTTGTAACTTCTATCAGTGTCCAGCAAAGCACTGGTTACAGCTTGTAGGAGGAGTTTTCATTCTCCTGTGGGAGGATGCAGGACCCCTGACCTCTGTCTGGAGAGAGCTGATTTGTCCTGTGCTGATCACATGCACGCTTTCAAGGGAAAAAAAAAAACCTCTAGCAATACACACTAAACTGAGCATGGGCAGCTTGCCCCGGAGCCTCTGTTCTATCAGGAGATGTTTAGGAGACACTGGAAGGAGGAGGATCAGAGAAGACAGGATCAAACATAATTTTTGCACACTGTGGAGTATTAACCCCTTAGATTCCAAAGTGAGTATAACAAGCATGCTTTACTGCATATGCAGGCTGAGTTTACTGTTGTGGGTTTAGTAACACTTTATTAGGTGGCCTTTCGACTCACCTGATGGACCCCTGTACTCATAAGCTGTCAAATAAGGCATATGTAGAACAACCCAATTCCACAGATCTCGTCTACCATGTGAATCTGAGTGCTGCAGGGATGATGATGATATATAGTTCAAAGAACAAACATTCCGTAGACTAGTTATTAAAATAAGTGGTAAAATACTCACATGTATAACTGTTTAATTGGCACAAAAGAAACCAAATCCCCAGGATAGCTGTCATAATCCTCTTTCAGCATAAGACCAGAGTCCCCGAAAGCTCTGTACTGCGTGATGACGTCACCAGACATGCCCCATCTGACAATTTGCATTCTGATTGCACGTCTTACATTTTTAAATTCTACTGGTACTCTTGTCTGTTAATCATTTACAATTTATTTTATTTATGCACTTTTTTATATATTTTTATGTAAAATTGTTGCACAGTCCCATTTATGCCACATGAGTTTTTGACATGCGAGTATTGAGTAGTTTATTTGTAACTTTTGGTTGATATTTAAGAGAGCGACACTAGTTTTTAATTTACTAAATTCTATTTTCAGAGTGTGAATCATATGTAATCTGGGTAAGCTTTCAGCACATATTTTGGAATTGGTGCTAGCACAGGGTCGATGCACTATATTTCACTTTCAATTCATGGGGGGGGTTAATATTCCTAAGAGTTCAGCTTTAAACAAGCCATCCCTGACCTCTCTAGCTGGTTTCATGTGAAGTTATTCATTCTGAAAAGATCACAACAAACAAAGGTTTAGCTTGTTTACATCATGTCCATTGAGCTGCATTATTCTGCACACCATTGTACGTTTCTTCGTGCCCTGCTCACGTCATACATGTGCGGTTTGCAGAAAAATGCAGCTCAATGAACATGGTGAGAAACCGGACTGCGAGCTTGTTCAAACCACTTGGAAACACCTGCTATGTGTTTATATTAGAGGGCTGCCAAGATCTGTTCTCACAGGAAAAAAGCTAGAATTTCAATTTCTGGGTTGTAAAATTTGAAAACCAATTTTCTTCACAATGCTTTCTAGAAATAATTAAAACAACTCTTCAAAGTACTCTTACTGTATGTTCAGAATATGTAAATACTTTAGTGTGCATTATCCAGGCACAGGTTTACTTTAATTTGCACCTAGGTGATAATGACCACAAAAGGGTAAGATTGGCCATAAGACATTTTGGACAACAGATTTAGGCCCAAATATTACCTGAATGTAATGACGTGAGGTAGCAATGGGTTTCCTTGTTAGACTGTGCCAGTAGTTCTGTGGAATAGGAATAAACAGAATGATAAATGTTAACTTTGAATTTCTTTTTTCTTTCTCAGATTTTTGGAATGATCTTTAGCATGGTCCTTTGCTGCGCAATCCGAAATAACAGGGAGATGGTATAATATTGGACTTAGTCCATGAAGGGTGGGGCAGGGGATTGATGTCAAAAACAATTTTAGTGTTCAAACAGCCTTTTCTAAAATAAAGTTGTGCTATATTTTCTGTTTTTTTTTTTTAATGCCAAGCTGTTGTTTTTTTTTTTTGTTTTTTTTTTAAAGGTTACTGTCTGTATGTTTGAAATGTAAAACCAATGATACAAGGTACACAATTTTGTTGATTGGTTAAATTCATATATATATATTGTAATATCAAATGGTAATACTATGAAGGGCTTTGTTTAGTGTATTTCGTTTAGACTTGTCTTTCGCTTTCTTAAAAATATTAATCGAAGTATAACTTATGTTGAACATAATTTGGTACTTAATTAAAAAAATACACCCAGACAAATCATGGTCTCATTTTTTTTTGTTTTTCTGTTTTGTTTTTTTAAATGCTCAATCGCTCTATAGCCCTTCTTTTTTTTTTTTTTTTTTTTTTTTTTTTTTTTTTTTTTTTTTTAAAGTGGTAAACAGGTATTTCCTAATCATACACTGCAGCACATTGGCTCTTTCAGATCTTGGCCATGGGTTTTATGCTGATACCTTCAGGTGAGGAAACTAGCAATCCAAAGCTGTTAGAACACTCCAATATAATCCTATCCTGTACTGTATCCCAAGAAATGTGTTTTTCGACTTGCCTATAAAGTCCTATAGGCAAGTTTCGACTTGTCTTAATTGTCTACTTGTCTTAATTAAAGCGGGAGAAAAAAAAAACTCTCCCTGCATGGCATTGTTATGTATTAGAATGCATTGCATAATAGCACTTTGACAGACTTGCCTTTTAAACAAAGCCCTCCAGCGGCATGCTGTCACCACTGAGAAGGCTTTCATCTTCACCTGGTCTTCCTTCTGGGTTCACGGGCTGTGGTCACTTGACTGGTTGAGTCACAATGACATCACTCCCACGCATGTGCGGCAGTCTCAGCTGCAGCACACAGCTCGGAAGGTTCCTTCAGAGCGCATGCGCCGGTGAATATTTCCTAAATGGTGAATGCTTAGGAGATACTCATTTTTACAGGTAGTTTATTAAAACAATAGGTAACAATAAAAAAGGAAAAAAAAAAGTTTCCGAGGGTCATTTCTGCCTGCTGCTTTGTTCCGGCAATCAATATGAGTCTGTCTGACAAGTTTTCCTGACGGGAAGAGAAAAGAAGTGACCGGGTGGGGTTTCCAGCACACAGCCTGTGAATGACTGCCTCCGCTCTACTTCTGTTTGCTGTGTAAAGGGGAGTGTTTCTCTTCCCTCCAGTCAGCTCTCAGAGCTTTCCTCACTAAGCTCTGCAGAGTGCAACTTCAACTCTCCACATCCAAATCCAGAATTTTTTTTTAAAGCTTGTCTGAGCCTTCAGAAAACGGGGGGCAGAGAAGAGAAGACTGCAGATAAATAGGTGCAACTTATGTAGGAGGATTTGTTTCATCTGTGCATCGCTCAAGGCCAGTCACTTCATGTAAGAGTTTACAACGGTTTTAAAGGTGTGATGCAGAGCACTAGAAATTTTGTGATGCCCAATTTTTGGGACCTTTTGATGCATTTTGTCAGTCCATTATTTTTAGTGGGCTGCCTTGACTTTTTGGAAGACCTAACACTGCAAAAAAATGTAAATGAGTCCTAAGTTTTTTAAAGGAATGCAAATCACTTCTTTTTAATGCAAACATAAAGCTAATTACTTCTGCACAACATTGTAGTGCACTGAGCAGGATTTTTACATACATTTTTTAAGCTTCTGCAGGGAGCAATGTGCAATCGATAAAATCTGCTGTGGGCGGGGCTAGGTGTCACTGTTCACCAATAGGGCTACCAACTGTGCCAGCATCTAAGTGGTTACAGCAGCAGCAAGGGTGACAAGGCTGCAATCTTCCCCCTGCAAGATCATGTCATAATGCGCTAGTATGCATCTTATACTAGCACATTATGAAATACTAACTTAAAAACAAAGCCCTCCAGCGGCATGTTGTCACCGCTGACGGGTTCCATCTTCACCCAGTCTTCTTTCTGGGTTGCATCAATCAAATCATCAAGCGGTGTTTACTACAGCTTTAAAGGTACAGGCAAACTGCAGCACACAAGATTTTGTTTGTTCATACCTCTAATCCGGCTATGTTTTTGACAGGAAGACTGATTAACACCCCCCCCCCCCCCCCCCCCCCCCCCCTTTGACATAACACACTCGTGGCTGCCAGCGTGGATTGGATGCGGGTCTGATGCTGTGTTTTTTTTTTTTTTTTTTTTTTTATCTGTTTATGGGAAGGTTTATGTAAACATACATCAACTTAACAAAAAAAAAAAAACAAACAAGTTGCTACCCACGCAGGAGTGTGCTAAAGTCAAACCTCACCTCGGATGCTGGTTTTAGCAGAAAAACGTAGTACACATAGAAGAAGATAAAATCTCACATAAAGGCCTGATGCACAACAATGCAGTTTGCGTTTCTGCAAAAAGCACCAAAAAATGCATTGGTGTGAACCAGGCCGTAGATGAAAATCGATGATCTTGCTGTCACCTACAGGTAGCAACCAGAAGCTGGGGAGTGTGTTTTATTTGCTTTGGGGGGGGGGGGGTTACATACTAAATTAACAATTTTGAAGTGGACCTTCCATCAACGTGCAAGGTCAGTGTCAAAACTTTTTAGTAACGTTAAAATATATCTAAACCCCCAAACCAAATATTTTATATATCGCAGTTTACCAATTCTTAGACATCGGAGACACCCTAAGACTTGGAAGTATTAGTTTGATCACCAGGTGAAAATGAAAGAAAACTAATGCAGCCACCACATCTATGGACAGCAGCACTGTCTGTAGAAGGCTAGATGGACTAGTTATTTTTTTTTTATAAAGGTTTTACTTTAAAGCTGACTATTGTAAGCTCTCCTGTCAGTGGTAAATGGTTTGTATCAACCCTTCCACCCTCCCTGGACAGCTTGATCTTTTCTGCCATCACATCTAAGAATTGGTAAGCTGCAGTATATTAGTTTTTTGCTCTTGGGTATAATACAACTTTTAGGTTGCCTACTTGTTTCTTTTGGCTCCCTTATTGGCCTCACAGTAGCCTTGGAAAAGGAATAGTGCAAAGGTGGAAGAGCCATTATGTTAACCCCCACCTAAATAAAACGGAAATCCAGGCAATCCTTTAATTACACAGATAAAATACATACAGTGCCTTGAAAAAGTATTCATACCCCTTGAAATATTCCACATTTTGTCATGTAAAAAAAATAAAAATGATAAAGCATTTACAATTGCAACACAAGTCTTATTTTTTTTATATATATATAGATATAGTTGTGTTCAAAATAATACAGTCATCAGATGACCAGTTTGTCAGATGACCCCCAAACACTGAATTCAAGCCACAGTACACTGTGAAGACAGTGAAGCATGGTTGTGCAAGCATCATGATATGGGAATGTTTCTCATACTACGGTGTTGGGCCTATTTATCACATACCAGGGATCATGGATCAGTTTGAATACATCAGAATGCTTGAAGACGTCATGCTGAAGAGGAAATGCCCTTGAAATGGGTGTGTTCCAACAAGACAACGACCCCAAACACACCAGTAAATGTGCAACATCTTGGTTCCAGACCAACAAGATTGACGTTATGGAGTGGCCAGCCCAATCCTCAGATCTTAATCCAATAGAAAACTTGTGGGGTGACATCAAAAATGCAGTTTCTGAGACAAAACCAAGAAATAGAGAAGAACTGTGGAATGTAGTCCAATCATCCTGGGCTGGAATACCTGTTCACAGGTGCCAGAAGTTGGTTGACTCCATGCAACACAGATGTACAGCAGTTCTCAGAAACAGTGCTTATACAACTAAATATTCATTAAGTGATTCAAAGGAAAGCAAAATCTTCAAACATTTTTCAGTTTATATAGTGAATGTTTGAGTTTGTAAAGAAGAATACAAACACTGCTATTTTTTGAACAGTCTAATATTCACTTTTCTTCAATTTTTTTTTAGAGAAACAACACAAATTTGATGTATTTTTCTTCATGTTTTGATTTGGAATAGAATGTGTAGTGTTCCCAATGCATTTGTGTGTATGGAAATAAAAGCTATTAGGATTTTGAGCTTTATTCATTTTTTTCAACACACTGATATTATTTTGAACACAACTGTATTAAAACAGTATTGCACTCACATTTTTTTTTAAAAGAAAACGGGCATTAAAGTTTCCAAAGCATGGCAATCAGCATGGTGATGTCACGTTACGCACCGCCCATACCCCCTTCATGACCAGGCAATTTTTTCCTATTTAGCACTATGCTACTGTAACTGGTAATTGCACAGTCATGCAACACTGTACCCAAACTACAATTGTATCTTTTTTTCACACAAATAGAGCTTTCTTTTGGTGGTATTTTGGCATTGAAGAAAACTATTTGTTTTCAAAAGGTGCAAAACACAGTACAGATACATAGTAGGCAGGCCCAGATCAGGACAGGCCTAAGCACTTCAGATGCAAACACTCATAACACAGGAGAAAACAAAATAAAAACAAGACAAATGTGTCTAAGTCATTAAACTGTGAATGGCTCGTGCTAGCATACAATATCTCAAAAGCATAAATAACCCTTAGGGGACTTTTTCCAACAGTGTGAGATACAGAGCAGACCCTTCTCTGTTCCAGTCAACCCCAGGGCAGACCAAAAGTAATGCTATAATTATGCAATGACAACATATTCTAGCCACTTAGCCCAAATTTTGCCAAATTTCCAAACACAACCTCAATGTGCATAGGCATTATTATAAAGTGGTAGAGTGTTATTAACCACTTGCCGTCTGCCTGCCGTTTATAAATGGCAGGACGGTGGCACTCCAGGGGCGGGTTGCCGTTCATAAATGGCACCTGCATTTTTATAGCTGTGTGCGCTTCCTGGGAGAGCGCAGCACTTTGATCTGGTGCCCGTTGTGTCCTCCGGACACAGTGGAACACCGATCATCAGACGGGACCTC